TCATGGAATTTTGATAATGTTAGACATGGTTCACCAGAATTTTTATAGTAATAAGACTCTTGAAATCGTGCATTCATTTCATATATAAGAGAAAACTGATATTTATTGAAATTGAGATTCAAATTGTCATAGGGGTACACTTCAGAGTTCAGGTAAAGTTTCATATTGGTGAGATTACAGTGATCGAATCATATTTTATTGAATGTCATTCTCTCTGTTCGTTTGGAAACCGACAATAACAAAGCTTGGCTTTTCCATTTGGCTGGATGCTTTGACGTTCCAGGAGTGGCGCATAGTTTACTGTAAAAGAGGATATTCATGATGTTTCCATGACCTGAAGGCTATCTCCAAATCTCTTTCCTTTCAATATACTTGATTAACCTTAATTTTTCCACATCTGAAACCTGGATATGGTGAATTTTCCATAAAACTTTGGTTAATTTAATTTTCGGTTTTTCTCCTGCCTTGGAGGATATCGTAGGATTAATATCATTGCTACTCCTGATGAGAACAAGTTCTTGCCGAATAGATGTTTGAGTGGTAGACAAACGCTAAAGTTCCCCTGAAGATCAACAATTTCCGGATGACCAAGATGATTCCAACCAATTCTATATCTATTGCATTCATTATTTGTATAATAAATGTAGTACTTCATAGCTGATGTGATTTCAGGATCACGAACCCGATCCACAACGGACCCACCAATTTTATATCGGATTTTTTCAAATAGAAAAGCAATACCATTGTTAAGAAAGTTCAGTGTAGCACTCACTTCATCTTCACTGTCAGTAATCCTTCAGTCTAGATAAATGTAACTTTGTGATGGTAATGTGTTAATATCCTGCGTTTGAATCGGAACACGTATCTCGAATGACTTATTTAGGCTTGTATTGGCATATGGCGGATGAGAGTGCATTTCGCAATTCGTTATCGCATTGTCCATCATCACATGTTCACCAATATTCAAAATATTGAAACTCATGTTAGTTGTGTTTCACTTTTTCTTCCGCAGGAACACCTCAGGAGAATATAGATTCTTCTGAGACCAGCGTTGATGTCCAATTTTAGGTTATACCAAAATTCGTGAAAAGTCTTCGTTTTGTTTTTTATAATAATAATTTGAAACCGAGTGAAATGAGGAACTGCTGATTCTCAGGTGTTAACTGTTTCATGTCACCTTTAGGACTGATACTTTTGATTGATGGAGAACGCGTTTTCTGACCCATTGTTGTTGTTGTTGTTTATTTATTTATTTATTTATTTACAAGGAAAGGAATACAAACAGAAAGAAACTTTCCAATACAGTATTCACAAATTGAATTATGGTATATCAATTGAGTTAGATAAACTACAATATTTGATGAAATTATTTCCATATTAATCCGAAATTGAACGATAGAGTCAGTAGTAAAAATAGTTCAAAGAGTAGATAGAATTTGGTAAATAATGGTAAACATACATTAAAATGTGAGTATATAGTCAGACACGTGATTTTGATAGTGATTCCATTGAATTGAAGATATTGAAAAGAAGAGTAAAGACAAGAAAAAAATAATGATAGAAAAAAAAGAGGGTGCAGTTCGACATTACAACTAATGACATAATTTTCGTCTCTCAGCGACGATGAATAAAATAAGTTTTAAGTTTATTTTTCAGAGCAGCGACTGAGCGAATGTTGAAAATATCGAAATCGAAATCAGAACAGTGCTTATTATATGTCTCTAACATACGATTTACTGGGAGATTTTTTGCTACATTTGTACGGGAAAAGGACAGTTCGGAAACGTTGTTCTGCCTGAGTTGTCTGCTAGGAATGTGAAAATTGACGTAGGAAAGAATATCCGAGCTATCAACTGAATTGTTTACTAATTTAAATAGAAATACTATTTCTGTAACTTTCCTACGGTCATGTAACGACAACATTTTAAAATGATTTCTAATAGATGCATATGCATTCACTGGACAGGAAAAGAAAGCGGCAAATTTGAGTCTCATAAATCTCAGGAACCTATCTTGTATGTTTTCTAGGCGACTGATGTAGCATACGTAGCGAGGATTCCAGATAACTGACGCAAATTGAAGTTTGCTGTGAACGTAAGCGTAATATACAGTTAGTATTGGTTCGGATTTTCTTAAAGGTTTAACATTTCTAATAACAAATCCTGAAATGCGGTTGGACTTATTGATCAGGTTATCAAAATGGGATTGAAATGTCCATTTTTTGTCCAAGATCACCCCAAAATCTCTTATTTCGTCTACTTTTGCAATAACAATATTCTCAATATTGTATGAGTGTTCAATCTCATGTTTATTTTCAGTGAATGATGAAGAAAAACTTTTTTTTAAATTGATAATTATTTTGTGATTTTGGCAAAAAGTGTTGAGGCGGTTCAGATCTTCCTGAATTTTGTTGCAATCATTGATTGAGGTTACTCTTTTAAATATCTTCAGATCGTCTGCGTAAAGTAGGTATCTGCAAAATTTGAAGTAACTACTGATTTGATTAATATATATATTAAACATTAGGGGCCCGAAGTGGCTTCCTTGTGGAACCCCTGATGTGACATTGAAGGCCGTAGATTTATTTCCCTGTACAGGTACTATCTGTGATCTATTTGTGATGTAGGATTGAATCCATCTCAAAATGTCACCAGGGATACCCATTCCAGCTAGCTTAGTCAACAGAATTGCGTGGTCGATCTTGTCAAACGCCTTGCTAAAATCGGTATGAACCACATCTACCTGCTCCCGGATGTCCATTGACCTTCCCACATACTCAGCTAGTGATATCAAGTTAGTATCTATAGATCTGTTGGGGTAAAAACCATGTTGTTCTGGAAATATAGTATTTTCCGCATAACTAAATAAGATTTTGTGCACATATAGTTTTAGCATCTTGGAGAAAATGCTCAATTTGCTTACGGGTCGATAATTGTCTATCAGGTTCCTCAAACCATTTTTATTAATTGGAACTACATGTGCCACTTTCCATAACTTTGGGAATGATCCGATATTGAGTGATTTGTTGAAGATCAGTCGCAAAGGTTTGACTGAAGATTCCTTGCATTGTTATATAAAATATGGTGAAATACCATCTGGTCCTGCGCCCTTATTTATATCTAATCCCTGTATAAGCTCTCTTATGTTTTTGTCATTGAAATGTTCTGTGTCAGTTATGTTGTCCACAAATAGATTGATAGGCATCACCGATTGATTTTTATCATAAACACTGTTGAAATATTTGGCGAACATGTTGCAAATTTCTACCCCACCACTAGCGTCGTTGTTATCGTGAGACATAGTAGACGGTACATAATTATTATTACTTCTTTTATTTGATATAAATTTCTAAAATACTTTGCTGTTATCACTGATTCCTGTTTCGATACTTTTAACATAATTCTCGTAGTCTTTCCTTATCGAATCTTTAGATTTTCTTCTTAGTTCGCTAAATAAATTGTAATCATTTGGATTATTATGTTTTTTCCACCTAAGATGCACACTTGACTTTTCTTCCATCAATTTCAGAGTTGAGTTTGAGAAATAGTGAGGAAACTTTGAACTAGTACGTTTGAATATAGGTACATATTTTTTTATTACACTGTATAACTTTTCGTAGAAGATATCAACAATTTCGTCTAGATTCATTTTATGTAGAGAAAAAACTGAATCCCAATCGATTCCAGAGACTGCATTATTTATTCGTAAGTAGTCACCCCGTTTAAAATCATGTAATTCCAAATTATGATCATTGAGAGGTTTCAGAAAAGTATTTTTTATAATAAATTCAAGGGGAATATCCTCTTCTACTAAAGGATCATCTGATCTTTTAAGCTTCCTAATATTTTCATCATTTGACAGTATGGGATCTAGTAGCCTATTGTTGCAGTTTGGTACATAATTAAACTGATGAAAATCGTGGAACGAGAACGTATCGATAAGGAGAGAATATTTATTGTCAACATTCGATGCTTCCAGAAAAGATTCGTTTAATACTAGATTCCAAGAAATAGACGGCATATTGAAATCCCCTTCGATGACAATATTGTTATATTTCGTGTAGTTGTTAATGTTGAATTGTAGAGAATCAATGAATTCGGTTTAACACTGAACATATTCGGCACCAGGAGGGAGGTATACACAAACCATAAGAAGTTGGTCCTCACTGTTGTTGAATCCGGAAAAAGAAATATATAAGTCTTCTGCGTTCGATTGCATTTCAGGGTGGTGGGTGGCTGTCAAATTATTTTTAGCTGCAATGAGTACACCACCACCATTAGATTTTGTAGAAAAAGCCGATTTTCGATCACGCCGTCAGACGCAGTAGTTGGCAGGAAATAGTTCACTAGAGTGTACACTGGAATTGAGATTTGTTTCTGATAAACAAATAATGTCATAGTTTGTAGATGAAACAGAGTGGAAAAAGTCTGTAGTTTTGCTTCTTAATCCATTTGTGTTCTGGTAATGAACATGAATAGGGTCCATTTCTAATTCAAAAATAAATGTGAGGAGTTGTCCTCAAACAATAATCCTGATTATTGCAGCTTTTCCAAAATATCAGTGTTCTTCACTTGGAACACCTGAGAAGAGTCTGATTTCCTAAGATATATGTTTCCATTCTTTACCCATATGTATATATATTCTTTGAGTTTGGCAAAAGATCTTGCTTCCTTATACAAGATTTCATTCTGAACACTCAGATGTTCGTTTATAAATAATGAATCAGATATATCTTTGATCATGATACCAATGGTGTTATTTTGACGTTTTATTCTTTGATAGGCTGCTAGAAGACAGTCTTTGTCTAACCGTCTTATAAATCTAACTATAATATTTTTGGGTGGATTTTTATTAGTGTTTGCACTATTTGAGCGAACCCTATGGACGTAATCGATATTCTCAATGGATATTTTGCAATTTAGGTGGCTTATTATTTTATCGAGAATAGCCAGTAAATCTTCATTTCCTTTTTCTGGTATTCCACAGATTTCCAGATTATTTTATCGCGAAAACTGTTCAACGTCTGTAATTTTGTTTTCAATCGTGGATAATTTGGAATTCATAGCGATGTTTTCTTGTATAAGGATATCGGTTTTTTTAGTGTAGTCTTTCCATGAATCTAATTTTCTCTCGAAATCTTCAATCTTGCTTGTACAAAAAGAAACAGAACTTACCAGGGAAGTTTGTTCTGGCCTTGAAGATTTCAAGTTATCCTGAACGCCTCGCAATATATTCACTAAAGTATTATAATCATCCTTGTTGACATTTTTGTTTTCAATTGTGGTACTTGAGGCTGGAGTAGCATCTTCTGTGTTATCCTTTTTGGCCCCGCGAGCACGGCACTGTTCACATTTCCAATGAACTCCTGGTTGTTTTAACACAGCCAGCTGATCAGCTGATAGTTTCAAGCAGACGGCATGGTACATGAGACGACAAAAACCAACACATTGAAGGCCGTGTTTTTTCTTGCCTATTTTATCTTCGCAAATGCTGCACTCTTGCGACATTATGAATGAATTTGTATGCACTGCGTCAACTTCTTCTAACTTCTACCACTATATTGAAGAACTGCGAGATATTTCCCGATCAATGATATAATTTTCAGATCGGTTTAACTTGTTTAACCCACTGATATACACGATTTTTATTGGAGCTCGTGAACACCGTGTATTCACCGTGCAACCGCTCACTAGTTGTTGTTGATGATGACATTGGAATATTATAGCGAAACACCATATTCACTAGAGCTCTTTCAAATGCAACCTGACTGTAATGACTTCCTTTTAAAAAATTTATTTAGGTAGTTTGATCGACTATTCTGAGAATTATTTCATCAATGTAATTGGAACTGATTGGTAGATAAATGACATTTGACACTTTCTCAACTATTCGGAATCCACTAGGCACTGATGGATAAAACATGTGCAATGTGTGAACGGAAGAATTATTATTATACGAATTCGTTGTTAAATTACATTCAACACACACTGAATTCACCTTGGAAATATTGATTGGAAAATCTAATATATGTTTTTTATTACCTTCCAATTTCCTCTTACTGAAACCTAACAAATTTGCTAACGAGTCAGGTTCATCAAAGTGTATGAGTTTGTTGCATGTCATCTCATACCTTAGAGTATTACGATTAGCATTCAATTCGAGCTGAATCTCGGCAGTTTTCTCCTCCTCTTTTACAATAGTATTCGGAATTTGAGCTTTTTTTCCCTTCTTCTCATTATCTTTTTGATGCAATTCATCCAATTGCGTCATAATATCCCGTTCAATGTCTTCAATTTCATAGGAACCTTCAGGAATAATCAATGTGTGTTTGCCGACATAGATATTTCACTCATCTATATTGGGAATAGTGTTGAAGGTCACGAAGTCAATCAGACCTAAGACATGGGTTTTATTATTATCTAAAATGATAGGTGGATGGATTTTAGCTGATAATACAGAGTCTCTCGCGGATAAGGTGAAAGTATATGAACACGTCATGATTGTGATAAGGTCATTGAAAGAATGAGAGAAAGCTTATATTTTATTGAGAGAGGAATTTCAAACATAACTGACCGACATTCACAGAATTAAAAGTTTGATAACAGTGTGATTATATAAAATATGACAAGGTCCATTGGAATTGAAGTAATCTTAAGTTTCCAGTGGTGGTCGCAAATTACCATAGCTATCAAAATAGACGATTTGTGGTCCTATTTTTTTGTAGGCAGTCCAATGCGTCCCCGGTCCATCTTCGTTATCCAAGTTTATCACGCCACGTTCTTTTCTTCTGATTCTCTTGGAAAGATCATTCCCCATAAATACACCCCTAAAATGGGGAATGTTGAGTTCTTTAACGTACTTCAGAATATCCAAATTGGATAGTGGGAAATTGAGTGGTATCCTCTTACGAGATTCCCGACGTTTATTTATCCTCATCTTGTTGATATTGGGATAATACTATGATGGTTATCCTGAGAAAAGTCCCAAACCAGTTTTATTATGGTCTCAAATACATTCCTTTCCCCATTGCAATAGCTTCCATTGTTTTATTATGCCGTTGGGATTCTTCCAATTGATTTTTTGCTGATCTGGCATCAGTGACAGCCTTAGCTACACCTGCAGCGCCACCTGTGATTGCCCCAAGAGCACTCAATTCCGCGAAAATCGGAATCAGGAGTAACAAGCCACCCCTCTTTGGAATTTTAACAATACGTGTTGGTTTGATGTTGAGTTTTTTCGTTGACCTTAAGGCTACCTTGACTGCATCGCCCACATCAATGAAATTGGACAAAGACAAAACATTTCATCACACTTCGGGCATGAGAAGGTTCCAAAATCTACAATACCATTCAACTCCCTGCATTTTTGCTCTCCACTACTTGCAGTATATACCACTATTATATGCCCATCACCATCACTCCTCTCCACGTCAATCGTGCCAATTCCCTGTTCCTGTTGTTGTTGTTGTTGTTTTTGTTGTTGTTGTGGCTCCTAGAACATTTTCCCCCCCATCATTGATACACACATCACCCATCACTCTCGGATATCTCCACCTGTGATTCAACGAATGGGGATGATGGCCCTTCTTCTTCTCCTCCCCGAGGCGAGTAGGCTTCCACTTCGAGAGAAAAAGAAGATGTTTCTTCTCCCTCAATTCTCCACCGTTTCTCTGAAGATACATCTCCTTCGAGTGCAAAGTTGAACCGCTTACTCGCCTCTTGCAATAGGTCCAACTCCCGATCATTTTTGGCAACAGCCCTTGTGAACTTGATAGGGAGGTTGCCAAATTTTTTCTGAAGGGTGATGAGCTTTGGGCTGTATTTCAAATATATGACAATACAGTCATCACCCTCCTTCTCTATGTCTTCCACACCGAATCTGGAAATAAAATGCGAGTTAATTCAACTATTGGGGGGCGGGAGTTAATGTAACGGTAAAAAAAGAGGTTGGAACTATTAGGGGATATGAAATATGTATTGCTGAATCTATGAGAATCATTCAAAGAATGAGACCAAAAATATTACTCACTTGAATATTTGTGTAAAAACAACCATAGCCATGTTAGCTGGGAAGCTCCTCTTGTCCGTAATGTTTATAATGAGAGTGGATGGTACACCTGCCATATTAAGTTTGCTGTTTGCTGCTGCTGCTGCTGCTACTGCTGCTGCTTTAGAACGTACTCGTAGAATGTGGTTTGATGGATGGAAATTGCAAATTTATATCGGTAAATATGAGAAAAAAAAGAATGAAAAAAGACACACATGTTTGTTGCAGACTTTGTTATTAGTTGAAGAAACATACGATCATTGATAAACTTGTTTTTCAGACTAATTTGATATGATGTTGCTGACTGTGGCAATATGTTGAAATCGCATGATGGATTCATGGGGAATTTTTTCGAGATGAGTTGCGAAGTGATGTGTGCAAATTGTTTGCGTGCGTCACGTACACGAGGCGATTTTTTCTCCTATCAAAAACTGATATCGGGAAGTAATAATTTTTCATACATTTTCATTATCAGCGTATTTTCTGTTGTTTACTCGCTGCCATTCATCGTACACACATATCCAGTTACCAAAACCCATACCAACGTTCACATCTAGAACCGTCTTATGTTGCCAGAGTTGGCCCATAAAAAAATTCAAGTAAAACATCTTCTTATCCTAATTTTAGTGAAGTTTTGAAATATAATGGCATCGAATTCCCAATGAGATTAAAAGATGTTAAAAAATTTGAAATCATGAATGAACTTTTTATTAATGTTTTCACAACTAATGAGAGGGGAAAGCATATCGAAATACTTCCCCTATGCTTGAGTCGTACTGATTTTTCAAGAACAATCAATTTATTGATGGTGTCATCGCCGCATCCTCAGGAAAATGATCTCAATGGAGATGAGGAAGAGGAAGATGTTCATTCCAAAAACAGAATTTATCACTTCGCCTACATAAAAAAATCTATCTAAATTACTACACTGGCAACTGGGGGATATATCTCATAAAAAATGGTTATATGATCGCTGTCTGGATCATTTCAGTACTTGTGAGAATCTGGAAAAACATTCTATTCAATGCAGAAAAATCAATAACACTCAAGTAGAATTACCAAAAGTGAATGGGAAAATTTTAAAATTTGAGAATTTTTAAGAATGAAGTAATGGTTCCATTCGTTATTTATGCTGATTTAGAGTGTCTGTTGGAAAAGTGTGATGGGCAATCCACGATCAAGACTAGGAAATCTCAAAAACATGTATTGTTCACTATTGGTTACATGCTTGTTTGTTCATATGATAATTCCCTTTGTGAATTCGATTATTATACCGGTAGAGATTGTATATCCTGGTTTGTCAAACAACTGAAGGATTTAGCTTTTCAAATCGATGGAATTTTGAGCAATCCGAAACCGATGAAACCTTTGACACAGGAGCAATTCTATAATTTTCAAAAAGCTTCATGCTGTCATATTTGTTTGAAATCTTTCACTATTGACGATCGAAAAATCAGAGACCACACCTCACAGGCGAATACAGAGGGGCCGCACATAATCATTGTAATCTAGGTTATCAAGATAGTCATACGGTACCTGTTATTCTTCATAATATGTCTGGATATGATAGCCACTTCCTCATAAGAAATTTGAGTATTGAAATCGAGGGTTAGGTGTCTATATTGCCTGTGAACAAAGAGAAATATATTTCTTTCACTAAATATATCGATGGGACGAGAATTGATTTGAGATTTCTTGACACTTCAGATTCATGGCTAGCAGTTTGGATACCTCATCCTCATACTCATTAAATTATCAAAAAACGATCACAAAACGATACTGCCAAAATGAAGCAGAATTCAGTAAAGGTATTTGTCCTTATGACTATTTAGACTCGATAGTTTGCACTACTATACAGCGCCTGGGTTAGCTTTTGATAGCATGCTCAAAATTACACAAGTGAAATCAGAACTCTTAACAGATAATGATATGATAATGTTTATAGAAAAGAGGGTCAGAGGTGGCGTATCGCAGTGCTCGCATCGTTATGCGAATCAAACAACAAATATATGGGAAACGACCCAGGTAGCACATCATATTGACTGGAACCCGATTTCATATTGGGCCGATATAGATATATCGTACATGTAAAACATAATATAGGTCCATTATAAGAGTATATTGGACATACAATATTGAAAAGATAATATTGGTGGAATATTGGTTCAACATGAGCTGAATATGGATTGTCAGCTACAATATCGGAGCAATATTGGTTGTAAAATTCGTTAACAATGTGTTGAAAAACATATCCATGAATGTTATATAATATTGTTTTACAAATGTCGATACAACAACATCGTATACATATTGTTCCCGACATTAATAACCAATATTGCAATTTGAACATTCTCCCCATGTCGATTCTGAAGTGGTTATGCAATATTGTATATTCAAGTTAAACGGCATATTGGTTAGATATTGTTTTAACAATCATTGAAACATCATATTCACCTATATT